CGATGAGTTTTATGGCACACCAAAACATTCACGTTTATCGTATGGTCGCTAGATAAGACAAAAAAGGGTGTCTATAAATCGTGTGTCTTGAGACCGTCTCCAGACCCATTAAACAAATCAAGTAAATGGTGTAAATACTGACACAATCAAACACTTCTATATATCAGCAGGTGATAAAAATATCAAGAGGTATAGTCAATTATTTTTTTAAATTCAATATAGATATTTCAGTTATTTTTCAGACTTAAAGGTCCTAACGGCCTGCGAAGAGAACTATTTCGCATTCATTGCTCTTCCTTTTAAATCAACACATCTTACATAGCCGTTGGATGTTGCATATTTCAGTGTCATTGGAGGCAAATTTTGGATTCCTGGAAAGCCTCATCAGATGGTCAGAGAATACCAACCATACCAAAGGATGTGTTTTCCTATCTTTTGAATAAGCTATGGAAAAAAATTCATGAAAACGCTGAAAAAAAATTAAAGTCAGGTTTTATGAAAACCGGCATATTTCCCTTTGTGCAACTAAAGTGTTAGAATGATTACCAGGTTATACTTGCCCTGTCGTCGACGAAAATACTCTCGTGCTTGTTTCGGATGCCTTTAAACAATAAATTGAAAATAAAAGAAAAACAACCGTTGACGAAACTGGAGAAAAAAAAAGTAAGAAACAACTTGATGTAGTATCAGGAAACAGCATTTTGCTGATGAAGTAAAGACTTTACTTTCGCTTTCTAACAGCAAGAAACTCAAACGTAAGCAGAAAAAGAAAGCGGTAGTAGATAGCCCAAGCAGAGACGAAGAGGAAATAGATAATATGATTTTACCTTCTGGCTCCGAGAAAGAGAAAGTCATCAAGAAAAAGAGAGCGATAGTAGACATTTCAAGCAGCGATGAAGAGGAAGCTGATACTAAGTTTTCTTTGGCTTCTAGTTCTTCACTGAATTTATCAGAAGAATAAAATCTGAAAATACTACAAGCGCAAACCTCAGAAGCTTCGAGGGTTCTCTACCCGAAAAAGACGATTTTGTTGCAGTTGAGTACGATGGTGATTACTGGGCCGGAGCAGGTGGTTACAGTAGAAAGCGAGGGAGCCTTTATAAAATGCATGGCAAAATGTGAACAACTGTGGAGATGGCCAGAAAAGGAGGACAGCATATTTTATGCCAAGAACGAAATTAGGTTTTCCATAAATGCTCCAAAGCAAGTTTCAACAAAACGTCATCTTTTCAGTGTCCCTGCCCTGAGCTTGCTTAATTAGATATAACAGTTAATAAAGTTTTTGTTTTGTTTATTTTAATTTTTTAACTTACCTTTTACTTCAATAAGTTGTGCTACAAAGCATTTTTAGTACTTAAGTTTGTATTATTTTATTACCATAGAAATTGCAGCTACTGAGTGACTATTTTATTTAAATATGAAAAATAAATGAGCTTTGAAGTTTTTGTGAGTCAAATATTTTTTTCAAGTATAATTTTCATTGCTTGACACTATTGTTGGGTTATATATGCTTGCAACAATAGTTACCTATCGACTTATTGCAATAAATTCCTTATGGATCATAGATGTGTACAAAGTCCACAAGTATGGTCCAAAATTTAACAAAAATATTGTTAAACTTAAACAATATTTTGAAAAAAACAAAACATATACTAAGTGACATATAAATCCGAACACCCAGTTTAAATGGTTTTATTTTAAAAAATTTTATAAGTACTTAATGAAGCATAATAAGTAAATGATAAAAATTTCAAAATGATTGCACTGCTTTAAAGCCCTTTGACCTTTAATAATGTGTGGATGCACCCTGATGAGCTACGCATTCTCCAACGCGCCTAGGCATGCTTCTGATCAGGTGGTCAATGTCCTCCTGTGGTATCTCATTCCAGGCAACCACCAACTCCTCTCCAAGTGCTTCTAGAGTCTGAGGAGGACGTTTCAAATTGAGCAATCTCCTACCCATCATATCCCACACGTGCTCAATTGGAGATAAGTCGGGAGATCTTGGTGGCCATGGTAACAATGTGACATCATTATGTTGAAAGAAGTCTATTGTGACTCTTGCAACATGTGGTCGGGCATTATCTTGTTGGAAAGTTGGATCTGCCAGGGTGTCAAGATAGGGTAAAAGATGGGGTTCTAGAACTTCGTGGATATAACGCTGCGCGTTCATGTTACCTCTGATGAAGATAGGTATTTCCCTGATGCTTGGAAACTATCTCTTGTCAAGCCCTGGCCTAAATGTAAAAATCCAAAATGTCTCTCAGACTTAAGACCTATAATTTGATTCCTGTTATATCGAAGATATTGGAGAAATTGATTAAAATCAGGTTTATCATTATTTCTCTAATAATGATTTCTTTCCCAAGTGTCAATCTGGTTTCCGCAGTGGTTTTAGTACAACTACAGCTTTAGCAAGGGTTTTAGATGACATCATTGCTTCGCTTGATAAGGGAGATGCTTCAGCACTTGTATCATTAGATTATTCTAAGGCGTTCGATAAAATAGATCATGAGCTTTTATGTGCTAAATTGAAGTTTTTTGGTTTTTCAGACATACCTCTAATGTTTTTTATAACATATCTTTCAAATCGTAAACAAGTAGTAGAGATAGACAACACTATCTAGTCCGATTGATATAACATCAGGTGTCCCTCAGGGTTCAGTTTTAGGGCCCTTGTTGTACTTAATTTATACTATAGACTTGGGTAGCTCTGTGAAAAACTCTTCTGTGATGTGCTATGCCGATGATACACAGATATATAAGAGCTTTAATAGTAACACTTTGCATACTTCAATCAATGAGCTTAATGATGATTTGGAGGCAATAGTAGGATACTCAAATGGTAACAATCTTAAGCTCAATAAGGATAAGTGCTCAGTGATGCTTTTTTGTCCTGCTGTCAAACGTAACACTATATTGTATTCTCTTGATGTAAAAATCGACAAGGAGCGTCTAGCTGTCGTAAATACTACAAAAAATTAGGGTTGATTATTGATTATACTTTACGGTTTAAGGAGAATGTTTCGTCTATCTTAAAAAAATGTTATGCAACTTTGAAGGTTTTTATGTCAATCCGCTCTATTTTGATTTTTAAGTTAGAAAAAAAGTTATGCGAGGCTATTATATTTCCAAGCTTATTTTACTGTAGCACTGTGTTATATCATTGTCTTGATTCTATCACAAAAGCAAGCTCCAAAACTCCAAAATACTTGTTGTCGATTTGTATTTAATCTCAAGAAGTATGATTCATGTTCCTTAACGAGATTTCAGCTGGTTGGATGTGTATAGAAAATGCTTGCAAGTACCACATAGCAGTGTTACACATAAAATCATATCTTCTAGATCCCCTTGTATCTTTATGAGAAATTTGTTTTCAGCGAAATACTTCAGACATTGATTTCAGACACAAAAAAAGACTAGAGATCCCTATGTATAAAACAACTTTATTCGTAGTTCATACACTTACAATGCTATCCTGATTTATAACGAATTAGATGACAATAAAGGATTGGCCAGTAAACAGATTTCGTAAGCATGTGAAACAGATTTATTTGTCATTGTAGTAATTGTGGAAAAGTTAGTTTTTAATTCTTACATTTTATTTATTTTACGTAATATATGTGTGTATATATGTATGCTAGGAAGCTATCAAGCTCGTTGTTTTGAAGCGTCTTTTGCTGCTTGTCAAAGTTTCCTTTGATTGAGTGTTTCAATTTATTATTTGGGTAGGTTAAGTAGAGTAGCCAAGAGCTAGACTTCGCCTACGTAGAGGTCACATTATGTTGTAGTGTATAATGTGCCTAATAAAGACATTTTATTATTATTATTATTATTATTATTATATAAAGGTGACCTGGAACCATAAGCTACAGCACCCCAAACTATAACTGCAACAGTGTGATGAACATGTCTTTCAACAAAAAACTGTGGATTCCTCCTTTCACCACGTCGCCTTCTAACCCTGGCACGACCATCGTGCATACCTAAACAAAATCGAGACTCGTCACTAAAGACAATACTGTTCCATTCCTGATCCCAGAGTGACCGTTGTCTGCACCACTCAAGGCGATTACGTCGGTGTTCTCGAGTTAAAGGGAGGACCCAGTGTGGCCGGTATGAAAACAAGCCAAAACTTCTCATTCGTCGGTAAACACTTCGCATGCCAATAGGTCTTCCGTGATCTGCAAACCATTCATTTGCAATGGACCTGGTAGTGGAGAAACGGTCCCTTGCTCTTTGCGTACGGCCTTCTCGAAGCCATGCCTGACAACACCTAACAACAGTGTCTACACTTCTTTGCACTCTAACTGCATTTGCCCGAAAAGAAAGTCCAGCTTCCCGATGTCCCACTATACGGCCCCTATCAAACTCAAGTTGACGAAATCGTACAGGTCTCCGTACTCTAGGCATCGTAACCGATCGTAAAGGATGTCAAGAACCAAAATCCACCAACGTTTATTCTTTACTGCGGCTGAAATATTCATTTTTAGAGCGTTAGTGAATTAAAAAAAAGCAATATAAAAACCGGAATGTCCAACTGAAGGCTGAAAATTTGTTCACTTGTTATTTACAGTAAGATAATACATTCACCAACTTTTATTAAAATAAAACCATTTAAACTGGGTGTTCGGATTTATATGTCAATCAGTATATCAACTAACTTCTTAAAAACTTTTAAGTCTTGCTACTCCATAAGAATGTTTTAAAGTAAGTCAGGTTGTAAGTTATAACGCGTATTCCAAAAAATCACTAAAATTTGGACCATTCTTGTGTGAAATTACGGTAATTATAGACATTGTTAGAGTCACGTGGGTCATCCTGTATACGAGGTATGTCTTTTAAGTTTTGCATATAGAAACATAGTAGGCCGCGCGGATCGAACGTCAGTACTGAATCTTAACCTCACTCTTTAGTGAACTTAAATTCAAAGTTTTACAACAATACGTGCAGTGTTCTCACTACAGTGAACTTTTGAGTGTCACCAAGTCATTAGAAAAATGGAACTCAACCGAGAACATTTTCGCGCCATAATTTATTACAACTTTCAGAGACAATTATCGCAACAAGAATGCCTTGCTGAGTTACTGTCTGTTTTCGGCAACGAAGCGCCATCAGTCGACAATTTCCCGTTGATATGTAGAATTCAAACGTTGACAGGTGAGTCTTAGCGACGATCCCAGGGTGGGTGCACCAAAACGGCAGTCACCCAGGAAACGTCGATGCTGTGCACAAACTTATCATTGATGATAGACATATCGCGAGATTGAGGCGTCCTTGAAGATCTCAAAGACCTCAATTCAAAAAAATTTATACGAGAATCAGGAGTAATAAAATTAGTTTCTCGTTGGATACCCCACCTGTTGACTGAAGACAGAAAGCAGCCAGAGTTAATTGGTGTCAAAAACGCTTGACCGTTTCAATTCCGGAAACTCAGAAAATGTCTACAGCATTGTTATGGTGATGAATCGTGGATTTACTGTTATGAACCAGAAAATAAACGACAGTCGGCTGTTTGGGTGTTCCAAGGTGAAGAAAAGCCAACAAAAGTCATCCGTTATCGAAGTGTTTCGAAAAAGATGGTCGCGACGTTGTGTCAAAGCGGGTCATATTGCAACAATTCCTCTTAATGAGCAAGAACTGTTACTGCGGATTGGTATACCACCATTTGTTTGCCGAAAGTCATCACCGAGCCTCGAAAAATCAACTCCGAATGAAGAATCATCCTCCACCAAGACAATGCAAGCTCGCACACAGCCCAAAAAACAAGGCAGTATTTAACGGAAAAAACATGGAATTATTGGACCATCCTCCATATAGTCCCGATCTAGTCCTAACGATTTCTTTACTTTTCTGAAAATTAAAAACAGACTGCGTGGTCAAAGGTTCCAGTCACCAGAAGAAGAAGTTGACGCATTCAAAAATGCCGGTTTGGATGCGCCAGCAAACGAGTGGAATAAGTGCTTCGAAAATTGGTTCGAGCGGATGCAGATGTGTATTAATCTTCGTGGAGAATACTTCGAAAAACAATAGTCATTTAAAACTACCTACCGTGTTGTTTTATTTCAATATGCAAAACTTAAAAGACATCCCTCGTATATTAACAGCATCCAAACATTCTGCTGCTGCTGCTACTACTACTACTGGTCTGTCAGTAGTCGTGCAGCATGTACTGTGCAGTGTATTTGATCACCTTCGAATTGGCCCTATTATAAACGACGTATATATGGCGAAAGGGCATTTGCAATTCGACGTATATGCGGCCGAATGTCCGATGGAATATACATGCCCTACCATACGTCAGACAGAAGGGCTCGTTAGCAGCCTAACAATTGATAGTGTTTGCTACAAGGTATAAGTATTGTAGTTCGAATGGAGTTAATTTAGAAAATACTTTCTTGGGTGGTTTTTAATGTCATCTAGAATCTATTTTCAGGGGGGCTTCATATGGAAAAAGTGCTGCGGGCAGGAGTTTAGGATTCGTTTTCAGGAGGATATCTGTCTTGAGGGGTAGGCGGGTAACGAAGATTGAAAATTGAGGAGCGCGTCTCATCGCAAATTGAAAAACATGCATTTTTTCAACTCGGGGCCTCGGACCCCCTAGAGACTCTCTAGATCCGCTACTGTCTCTAGTAGCACTAAATGTCCATTTTTACCATCGACAATTACATGCAATTTGGGCTGCTGCATTCGTGTATAATCGTGAAATAATTTGAAGTGTCATGGGATTAAAATTGGGGTAGTAAAAAAATTATCCGCGTCTGGAGTCACCTGTTAATCCTACCACTATTTCATGCACGATTAACACTGAAAAAAAAATCTTCATGGTTTCCGGATTCGGTTTCAGATACCCAAGAAATGTATTTCAAGTATGTTCCCCGACAGCATTAATATTTATTAAATATTTTTAAAAATGTTTGTTAAATTTGTCGGACATACTTTTAATATTTAATAAATATATTTCTTATACATTTGTAAATATTCATTATAGATATTTGCAGTATATATAATTCATATATTTTGCGATATTTTTCAAAATATTTAGAAAATATATGAGGAAGGATTTTAATATCAATTTTATATTTGATGAAATATCTATTATTTTTCGTAAATATGTATGGATTTTCAAGCATTAATCTTCAATGTATATATAAAATTCTTCATTGGTTATTTTCGAAAACTGTAGGAATGCTTATATAAAATTGGGTTTATAAAGAAAATTTATTCTAGATACAATGGTTTAGTTTGCTAGAAAAATATTATTAAAAAAACATTCTAAACGTCTTCTACATCTTACAAGTCCATTCCTCTGAAAAAGAACAAACTTACTAATTATGAAGAATTATTGAACATAAGCTGCTTTCCAGTGTATTTATGGTAATATAAAGTGCAGTGAAACAATATTGCTGAGTTACTCCGAATATCTCAACTGGGTCACTGAAATGCACCTAAAAGGACCCCATATTTTCTGCTTATGATAGTTCGAGATTTGGTTAGTTTTTATGAAAATTTGGCATGCTGTTTAGATATCTTGATGAAAAATGTCCATGGGCACAACTTTTAAAGAAAATGTTTTTGAACATAGACCACTTATTGATTTTGTTGAAATGTGACATTTTTAGTACGGGAGCTAGCCATAGCTATTTTGTGATTTTATATTATAATTCAAGGGACAAAATATAGTATTTTCGACTGTTAAATTTTTGGAACGTCGCTGTCGAAATTTTAAGATAGTTACAGCTGATCTGCTCCCTACGACGACAAAATAATAGTAATAATTGAGATTTAAAAAAGCATTTTTGATGTATCTCGATCAAGTTGCGATATATGACTTTTCATTGGCATGTTATGAATAAATTTTCGTATCCATTCTCAGATAATTCCACCAATACCAAAAACTGTTACACTTCAAGGCTAGTTATTTATGGTCTTCCCCGACAGCATTAAATATTTTCAAAAAATATTTGTTAAATATTTGTAGCGACAATTTTTTTTATTATTTAATAAATATATTTCTTATATATTTATAAAATATTCATTATAGATATTTTTAGTATATACAGGGTGACTTTGGAGTTGAGTCATTAATTTTCAGATAATGATTGTAGAAGGAAGATAAACTAAAATAGTGTGTAAAAATAAAAAAAAAATTTAAAAAATAATAATAATAATAATGGCCTTTATTCGTCACACGATTACAAAATAATTGGTTTAAAAGGAACAGTGACGAAAAGGTGGAGTGTCAGCTTATGCTGTTTTTCAACCCGACCTGGAAAACATTGACACAACATAGAGAGAGAAAAAAACTTAGAATATAACACTTATCAGAAAAAGGAAACAATCAATTACCTGTGTTACCTTGTTTTATAAAGTATCCTCCCGACAAGTATTTCAGTGCGGACCTGTATTTGATCGTGCGGTCTTGGAGCACCGGCATGCGCTCCCCTGTGAGGTCTTAAGTCACTTGATTCACGAGCCCTTGTACTACATTAACAAAGGCACGAGGGGTTGGTTGCACTCGATTGGGAAACCGATTCGCATAAATCCGTGAATGCCGTGGCAGCATTTTGTAACGACCCCCCCCCGTAAATAAGAATCATGTCCACAAGTTCAGCATTTTCGTAGACATGTGCCATTTTTTATTTCGTTTGAGCCACGCAACAAACACTACTATTCACTCACCCGTTACCGACTGAGCATTGACTAACATCGTGATATACGTTTCAAATTCTTTCGCTTCACCCTGTATAATTGATATTTTTGCGATATTTTTTCCAAATATTTAGAAAATATATGAGGCAAGGTTTTAAATATTAATTTTATATTTTGATGAATATCTAAAACTTTTCGTAGATATGTATGGATTTTCATCACGATCGATTATATTTTCAGTGTATACATAAAATTCTTCATTGGTTATTTTAGCAAAACCTGTAGGAATGCTTACATAAATTGGGTTTATGAAGAAAATTCA